AGAGAGAGAGAGAGAGAGAGAGAGATTAAAATAAAAACATTTTAATGAACTGTAATATTAATACAATTATCTGATTTATATAATAGATTATTATGAAAATATTAATAATAGGGTATGAAGCCTCAGTTACTATTTATTTATGTTTATCTATATTGTGTTACAATTAAAATTAATTTTTATGTTTAATGTGAGTTAAAGTTAGATAGATTAAAACACATAATGTTATAATTAATAAATAATATTTTTACCATATTCTCACACAGTTTGAACTAGACCGGGAGGCGGGCAACCGGCAAATCTACCACCGATACTGCATGGAGAGGGCGGCGGCCAACTCGGCCCACGTGTTCACCACCGTATCGGACATTACGGGCCTGGAGGCGGAGCACCTGCTCAAACGCAAGCCCGACATAATCACACCCAACGGGCTGAATGTGAAAAAGTTTGCCGCCCTGCACGAGTTTCAAAACCTACACGCCAACTCCAAGGAGAAAATTCACCAATTCATACGTGGTCATTTCTACGGGCACTACGATTTTGATCTGGAAAAAACGCTGTACTTTTTCATAGCCGGCCGCTACGAGTTTAGCAATAAGGGCGCCGATGTGTTCATCGAGTCGTTGGCCCGACTCAACCACTATTTAAAGGTTGGTGTGTTGGTTACTCTACCCCCCTTTTTAACCTGCCCATTACTATAGTTAATTATTATCTAGTTAATTATCCAACTAAGCTAGTTTAGTTATGTCCTGTGTAATTAATTTTGTGGTTAATTATGTTGACCAGTAATTATCAGTTGAGTTTAGTATTGTGTGATTATACAGTATAATAAATTTAATAGTTATACTAGATTAAGAATTTAAATTAAATTTATTAATAATGATCATGTTTGTTTGTTTGTTCTAGTCTACGGGCAGTGATGTGACGGTAGTGGCGTTCCTGATATTTCCGGGCAAAACAAACAATTTCAATGTGGACTCACTGAGAGGTCAGGCCATCGCCAAACAGCTCCGGGACACCATCGATGACG